TTAAAACAGCAGTTAACAAAACATCAAGTCAAAACAAGTACTATCATGTAAAGCTTACAGCTTATCGGTTCTGTGCTGATATCGGCCGACCGGCTCAACACGTTGTACGTGTGAGTGCTGATAAGCTATGGCATATAAGCCATTAAGAAGGCGAGGGCAAGCGGGGTCTCGGTAGTGTAAGGGATAAGAGCACGGTCCCCGGAAAGGACAAGTACGGGTTCGAGTCCCGTCCGAGACTGGAGTTTTGCCCACAAATCGCCAACTTTGTGAGACTTTCGCTTCGCGCACTGCGGCGTTAAAACAGCAGTTAACAAAACATCAAGTCAAAACAAGTACTATCATGTAAAGCTTACAGCTTATCGGTTCTGTGCTGATATCGGCCGACCGGCTCAACACGTTGTACGTGTGAGTGCTGATAAGCTATGGCATATAAGCCATTAAGAAGGCGAGGGCAAGCGGGGTCTCGGTAGTGTAAGGGATAAGAGCACGGTCCCCGGAAAGGACAAGTACGGGTTCGAGTCCCGTCCGAGACTGGAGTTTTGCCCACAAATCGCCAACTTTGTGAGACTTTCGCTTCGCGCACTGCGGCGTTAAAACAGCAGTTAACAAAACATCAAGTCAAAACAATGTAGTTTGTTTATTGACCACATTATATGTAATGGAATGGGCAGAAATTACTATTCTAATCTATTGTGGAAGTTGGTTATTGTATTATGTAAGCACCAAAACGGTCAGTGTCCTCTTAGCAGAACGTAGTCTTCTGAACATCAAGGTGAACGAATCGCAAAAATTTATAAACAAAAATGTAGGCAAGCAAAATATAGAATTATGCCCACAGTTCTTAATTTTTATTTCTTATTCGTGCTCTTTCGTGATTGCTGACAGACATGATCTGTCGAGATTATAATAATATGTAATCAGGGCAGTTAGAAGGTGCCTCTGCTGCAGGTTTGTCGTTAATTTGTTCTAATTGTCGTATTTCGCTGTATCAGATTTTTTTGGCATACATGTTATTTGTTCATTTTGTGCATTAGATGTTATGGAAAACGCAGAATTAGTTATGCAATTTGTAGAAATCATTTGAAAAAACACTGTATATATATGATGAATAGTTCACAATAGGCATTAGGTCACAAATAACATTTTGCAGTCGAGTAAGGATTAATCCAG